GTGTACATTTGAGTGTGTGTTCAGTTCTGTGTGTGTGGAAAGTTCTACAGTGCTTTGAAAAGGTATTTGACCCCTTTCTAATTTTCTCTACTTTTGCATATTTGTGATACTGAATGTTATCAGATCTTCAACCAAAACCTAATATTAGATAAAGGGAACATAAGTGAACAAATAACACAACAATTACATATTTATTTCATAAACAAAGTTAAGCAACACCCAATTCCCCTGTGTGAAAAAGTAATTGCCCCCTTACACTCAATAACTGGTTGTGCCACCTTTAGCTGCAATGACTCCAACCAAATGCTTCCTGTAGTTGTTGATCAGTCTCTCATGTCACTGTGGAGGAATTTTGGCCCACTCTTCCATGCAGAACTGCTTTAACTCAGTGACGTGTGGGTTTTCAAGCATGAACTGCTCGTTTCAAGTCCTGCCACAACATCTCAATTGGGATTAGGTCTGGACTTTGACTAGGCCATTCCAAAACTTCCAATCTGTTGCTTTTTAGCTATTTTCATGTAGATTTGATTGTGTGTTTTGGATCATTGTCTTGCTGCATGACCCAGCTGCGCTTCAGCTTCAGCTCACAGACGGATGGTCTGACATTCTCCTGTAGAATTCTCTGATACAGAGCAGAATTCATGGTTCCTTCTATTAAGGCAAGTCGTCCAGGTCCTGAGGCAGCAAAGCATCCCCAAACCATCACACCACCACCACCATGCTTGATCTTTGGTATGATGTTCTTACTGTGGAATGCAGTGTTTGGTTTTCGCCAGGCATAATGGGACCCATCTCGTCCAAAAAGTTGACTCAAGTTTGCCAAAAAGCACCTGGATGATCATCAAGACTCTTGGAAGAACGTTCTATGGACAGATTATTCAAAAGTATAACTTTTGAGTAGAGAAAATTAGAAAGGGGGCAAATACTTTTTCATAGCACTGTATGTGTGTTTAGGCATACCCACATACCGGCTCGTGGCGAGGCTTCCAGCTGCATTTCCGTCGTAGGTTGAAGGTCCTCCTGACGGGACAGTGCTGCCCTTCCCCCCTCCCTGTAGCTCCTCCCCCCAGCTCCAGACTGCGGGCCACAGCCAGGGTCGCCAGGCTACTAAGGTCAAAGGTCAAAACATCCTCTCCTGAGGAGAGAGAGAAAAAATTATGTTACTTCTTGCTGGAGATGGGTCAAAAACGGGTGTGGAAATAATTACATAATTTTTTACTATTGCCGCCCCCTAAACAAGTGATTAGCAAACAAGGTGAACGTTAGCTAATTTATAGCCTTCACACCCACACCCACACGATCACACACACACACACACACACACACACACACACACACACACACACACACACACACACACTCATCGGCTGAGTGAGAGGGAAAGAGGTGGACGGACAGAGAGAAACAAGGAGGGAGAGTGCTAAAGGAGTGCTGTCTCTCCATCTATCACTGTCATTAACTCTGTCATTGTCACCGCCTGCAGATCAACTAGAATATTCATGAGGGAACAACCAGCCCAGACACACACTCACACACCGGCTCATTTGGCTGAGCTGCACAGACACAGACACACTGCTGCATGCAAGAGAAAAGTAGAGAAGAGGGTGGATGATAAAGATAAAGGGAGGGAGGGAAGGAGGAGGGGAAGGGAGGACAAGGCAGAGGAGAAGGAGGAGGAGAAGGGAGGATGAGGCAGAGGAGAAGGAGAAGGGAGGATGACGCAGAGGAGAAGGAGGAGGAGAAGGGAGGACGAGGCAGAGGAGAAGGAGGAGGAGAAGGGTGGACGAGGCAGAGGAGAAGGAGAAGGAGAAGGTGGACGAGGCAGAGGAAAGGAGGATGAGAATGGAGTGACGAGGCTAGGAGAATGATGAGGAGAAGGGAGGACGAGGCAGAGTATATAGATAGGATAAGGGTGACGAGTCAGAGGATAAGGAGAAGGAGAAGGTGTGACGAGTCAAGGAAATGGAGGAGGAGAAGGGTGGACGATGCAGAGGAGAAGAGGATGGAGAAGGGAGGACGAGGCAGAGGAGAAGGAGAGGAGAAGGGAGAACAAGGCAGAGGAGAAGGAGAAGGAGAAGGGTGACGATGCAGAGGTAGAAGAGGAGAGAAGGGAGGACGAGTTGCAGAGGAGAAGGAGGAGGAGAAGGGTGGACGAGGCAGAGGAGAAGGAGAAGGAGAAGGGTGGACGAGGCAGAGGAGAAGGAGGAGGAGAAGGGTGGACGAGGCAGAGGAGAAGGAGGAGGAGAAGGGTGGACGAGGCAGAGGAGAAGGAGAAGGAGAAGGGAGGACGAGGCAGAGGAGAAGGAGGAGGAGAAGGGTGGACGAGGCAGAGGAGAAGGAGAAGGAGAAGGGAGGACGAGGCAGAGGAGAAGGAGGAGGAGAAGCAATAAGAGGCTAAGTATCTATTTATTGTCCAGCATCTCCTCATTACCGACATGGACACAATCCAATTTACCCTACAGGGGGAGAGGAGAGGGGGAGGAGAGAAGAGGGGAAAGAAGGGTACTGACTCAGTCTACTAAGGTGAAAAAGAGAGAGGGGGAAGACGAAGAGAGAGAGAGAGAGAGAGAGAGAGAGAGAGAGAGAGAGAGAGAGAGAGAGAGAGAGAGAGAGAGAGAGAGAGAGAGAGAGAGAGAGTCATCACCTACAGAGAGATGAACCTGGAGAAGAGTCACCTAAGCAAGCTGGTCCTGGGGCTCTGTTCACAAACACAAACAGACCCCGCAGAGCCCCAGGACAGCAACACAATTAGACCCAACCAAATCATGAGAAAACAAAAACATAATTACTTGACACATTGGAAAGAATTTACAAAAAAACAGAGCAAACTAGAATGCTATTTGGCCCTAAACAGAGAGTACACAGTGGCAGAATACCTGACCACTGTGACTGACCCAAAATTAAGGAATTCTTTGACTATGTACAGACTCAGTGAGCATAGCCTTGCTATTGAGAAAGGCCGCCGTAGGCAGACCTGGCTCTCAAGAGAAGAAAGGCTATGTGCACACTGCCCACAAAATGAGGTGGAAACTGACCTGCACTTCCTAACCTCCTGCCAAATGTATGACCATATTAGAGACACATATTTCCCTCAGATTACACAGACCTACAAAGAATTCGAAAACATACCCAATTTTGATAAACTCCCTTATCTACTGGGTGAAATACCAGTGTGCCATCACAGCAGAAAGATTTGTGACCTGTTGCCACAAGAAAAGGGCAACCAGTGAAGAACAAACACCATTGTAAATACAACCCATATTTATGTTTATTTATTTTCCCATTTGTACTTTAACTATTTGTACGTTGTTACAACACTGTATATAGACATAATATGACATTTGAAATGTCTTTATTCTTTTGGAACTTCTGAGTGTAATGTTTACTGTTAATATTTATTGTTTATTTCACTTTTGTTTATTATCTATTTCACTTGCTTTGGCAATGTTAACATACGATTCCCATGCCAATAAAGCCCTTAAATTTAAATGTAAATTGAATTGAATTGAGAGAGAGAGAGAGAGAGAGAGAGAGAGAGAGAGAGAGAGAGAGAGAGAGAGAGAGAGAGAGAGAGGGTGAGAGAGAGAGAGGGTGAGAGAGAGAGAGGAGAGAGAGAGAGAGAGAGAGAGAGAGAGAGAGAGAGAGAGAGAGAGAGAGAGAGACAGGAAGGAGGAGTGTATATATGTAAAAGATGTAAAGGATGTATCGTTCTCCTGTCTTGTCCTGGTTGGTAGAGGACAGTGGAGTCTCGTCTGTCAGACCTCTGGGCCAATGAGCGGCTCTGGTTACCCCTGACTGGATGACATCACCGCTGACATCAACAGGCCTAGTTTAGCCACCCCGAGGAAGATAGATGCCTTCCGCCAGCCACACACACACACACACACACACACACACACACACACACACACACACACACACACACACACACACACACACACCACACACACACACCACACACATAAACAAACACACACACACAGACAAACACACACAGCTGTGCCATGCCTAATAATTCTTTGCACTTATTAATTGTGTCAGGATGGAACAGAACATGTCTTTATAAATGATAAACAAGCGAAGAAGAAAAAGGAAAAGCGCAGCGAGAAACACTGATGGAGTAGAACAGGGATTCATCTGGGATTCCTTAACAGCTTACACACACACACACACACACACACACACGTGCACGTTAATAAAAACACGTTCTCTCAGAGGGACAAGGGGAAAAGATAAATTGTTTAAAGAAGAAGGGAGAGGGAGGGAGGGAGGGAGAAGGGAGGGAGGGAGAGAGAGGGGAAATAGAGAGAGAGAGGGAGGGAGGGAGAGAAGGAGGGATAGACTCTCTCTTTCCTTTCTTTCTCTCCTCTTTTTTCTCTCTTTGCGTGCTTCATTCTTTCTCTCTCTCTCTTCTTTCTTTCTCTCCCTCTTTCTACTCTCTCTCTCTCTCTTATATTTCTTTTCTTTTCTTTCTCTCCCTCCTCTTTCCCCCCCTCTTTCGTTCTCTCCTTCTTTTCTTCTCTCTTCTCTCTTCTTTCTTCTCTCCCCTTCTTTCTTCCTTTATGTTTCTTTTCTTAATGAGACACTAGACTTCTTTATTGTGTATGTTCCTATCTATCCCTTCCCTCCTCCTCCTCCTCCCCTCCTCCTTCCCTCCTCCTTCCCTCCTCTCCCCCCCCCTCTCCTTCCTCCTTCCTCTCCCCTCCCCTCCTCCCTCCCTCCCTCCTCCCTCTCCCCCCTTCGGCTATCCAAATCCCACCCCCTCTCCGTCCCGCTCTCCCCCAGCGACCCCATCTCATCCCCAGGAACACCTTATCTTTGACTTAACAACAGAAGGACCAGACATCCCCTGGGGACGTGTGTGTGTGAATTGTGTTCCTCCTCACACACTCTCTCACCTCTCTCCTCTCTCTCTCTCCTCTCATCCTCGCTCGTCTCTCCCTCCCTCCCTCCCCTCTCTCTCCTCTCTTCTCCCTGTTCCTCTCTATCCTCTCCGCCACTCATCCACTCTCCCTATTCTCCATGCCTCGGTGTGGGATGGGCGTGGGCGGAAGGGGTGTGTTGGAGGGGTGTATAGGGGGTAGCGGCTCCCGGTTGCACACCAGCGCCGCAGCGATGAGAAGCTCCAGACTCCAGATGCAGGGATCATCACTTAGGGTAGAGGACGGGGCTGGGGTTGGGGCTGGGCTTGGCTGGGCTGAGGTTTGGGGGCTGCTTAGTAACTCCACAGAGGCTTCACTCTGACTCCTCCTACCCTCTTCCTTCTCCTCTACCTTCTCCTCCTCCCCCTTCTCTCTCTCCTTCTCCTCTCTCTCCTCCTCCTCCTCCTTATCCTTCTCTCTCTCCTCCTCGCTCTCCTTCTCCTCTACCTCATCTTCCTCACCCTTCTCTCTCCCCTCCTCCTCCTCCCCCTTCACTCTCTCCTCCTCCTCCTCCTCTTCCTCCTCCTCCTCCTCCTCCTCTTTCTTCTCCCCCTCTTTCTTCTCCTTCGCTGGTTGTGGGTCTTTCAAGCCAGCTGGCTGGGCCAGGCTGCCCACAGAGACCTCTCCTTTCTGGGCATCCTCAGAAGCGGAGACTGGGGCTGGAGCTGGAAGTGTGTCTGGGGATGGGGCTGAGGCTGAGGTTGAAACTTGGGCAGGACAAGGCACCATTTCAGGGGTCTTCACTCCAAATAGCGGGGGCTCAGATAATGATTGGCCCTCCACCTTTAATCCTCCTTGTTCCCTTTCTACAACTGTACACCCGTTCTCCTTCTTCTCTGTTTCCGCCTCCTCATCCTCCACAATCCTTGCGGTGTGTGGGCGGAGCTTAGGGCAGGGTTCTGCTGGCTCCACCTCCAGATCAGCATGTTCAGCCAATCGGGCCTCCTCTGGGGAAGGACCGGCCTTGTTACCCATGGCGATTTCTGGATAGGTGTAACCTGGCGGAAGATCTTAGAGAGAGAAAGAAAATAAACTCCTTTAGTCAAGAGTGACTAATAATCAATAATTAAATCATTGAATTCAATCACTGAATCAATAAGGCAACAGAGCTATAATAGTTGGGAACATGGCTACAGTAAGGGAAGTGTACAGGCAGCAGGAGATAGGGCATCCCAGCAGTTTGTGCATCTAGGTGTGTGTGTGTGTGTGTAGGGGATATTGATGACACCCTGTTGTCTGGCTGTGATTGCAGTGTCGACCCTGTCACCCCACAACTCTGTTATTGATGGTATCCCTCCGCCCCCTGACAACGCCGCCAGATGAATGCATATCCTTCCACTTATTGTCTTTCAAGGACCTCCGAAGGATAAGGAGGGTCCGTCTGAAATGTCTCTGACCTCGCACATATTTTATTTGATTTTTTATTTCACCTTTATTTAACCAGGTCCAGATTTTGCAGCTATTTCAGAACATCAGCTGTCTGAATTTGGGTGAAGGAGAAGTGGGGGGGGGGGGCATGGGCAAGTTGCAGCGGAGGGTGCAGAGCTGGTGGCCGGGGTAGGGGTAGCCAGGTGGAAAGCATGGCCAGCCGTAGCAAAATGCTTGCTGAAATTCTCGATTATCGTAGATTTATCGGTGGTGACAGTGTTTCCTAGCCTCAGTGCAGTGGGCAGCTGGGAGGAGGTGCTCTTATTCTCCATATTAGTACACACACACACACACACACACACACATACCACACACACACACACACCACACACACACACACACCACACACACACACACACACACACACACACAGACACATAGACTATGGGTCCATCCATGCTTCAAACGTTATTTGCAGAATCAAAGAACAACAGGCTTCACAGACCCTCTCCTGGGGTGTAGGGGTTTCTTCTCTTTCCAGCAGAAGCAGCATCCTCTCTCTCCTGGGGTGTAGGAGTTTCTTATCTTTCCTGCAGCATCATCCTCTCTCTCCTGGGGTGTAGGGGTTTCTTATCTTTCCAGCAGCAGCATCATCCTCTCTCTCCTGGAGTGTATTGGTTTCTTATCTTTCCAGCAGCATCCTCTCTCTCCTGGGGTGTAGGGGTTTCTTATCTTTCCAGCATCATCATCCTCTCTCTCCTGGGGTGTAGGGGTTTCTTATCTTTCCTGCAGCATCATCCTCTCTCTCCTGGGGTGTAGGAGTTTCTTATATTTCCTGCAGCATCATCCTCTCTCTCTTGGGGTGTAGGGGTTTCTTATCTTTCCTGCAGCATCATCCTCTCTCTCCTGGGGTGTAGGGGTTTCTTATCTTTCCTGCAGCATCATCCTCTCTCTCCTGGGGTGTAGGGGTTTCTTATCTTTCCTGCAGCATCATCCTCTCTCTCCTGGGGTATAGGGGTTTCTTATCTTTCCTGCAGAATCATCATCCTCTCTCTCCTGGGGTGTAGGGGTTTCTTTCCTCTCTCAACATCTCCACTGCTATCCGTTCTCTACCTTTCTTTCCATATCCTTCTTTCACCCATTCTCTATAAATGTTTTTCTCTCCCTCTACTCCTCTCCCTCACTTGCTTTCTCTCTCACACACATTCTTGCTCTACCTCCTCCTTCCCTCTCTCTCTCTCTCTCCTTCTCTCCCTCCTCCTTTATCTCAGTAGTAAATGGAGGCTGGTACAGACCATAACCTTGGGAACTGATTAAATGTTCCAGTGTTTCTTGTCTCTCCTCCACAGAGCAGAGGAAATCAGGGATAAGACCAACCTTGTCTGTCCGCTTGTGTCTCTGTATATTAGGGGGTGTTGATGAATACTATATCAGAAATAAAGACACAGCTCAAGAGAGAGTGCCAGAGACTAATGCTCAAGAGAGAGTGCCAGAGACTTAAGCTCAAGAGGGAGTAGCCAGAGACTAAAGCTCAAGAGGGAGTGCCAGAGACTAATGCTCAAGAGGGAGTGCCAGAGACTAATGCTCAAGAGAGAGTGCCAGAGACTAAAGCTCAAGAGGGAGTGCCAGAGACTAAAGCTCAAGAGGGAGTGCCAGAGACTTAAGCTCAAGAGGGAGTGCCAGAGACTAATGCTCAAGAGAGAGTGCCAGAGACTCAAGCTCAAGAGGGAGTGCCAGAGACTAAAGCTCAAGAGGGAGTGCCAGAGACTTAAGCTCAAGAGAGAGTGCCAGAGACTAAAGCTCAAGAGGGAGTGCCAGAGACTTAAGCTCAAGAGGGAGTGCCAGAGACTAAAGCTCAAGAGGGAGTGCCAGAGACTAATGCTCAAGAGGGAGTGCCAGAGACTAAAGCTCAAGAGGGAGTGCCAGAGACTAATGCTCAAGAGAGAGTGCCAGAGACTTAAGCTCAAGAGGGAGTGCCAGAGACTAAAGCTCAAGAGGGAGTGCCAGAGACTAATGCTCAAGAGGGAGTGCCAGAGACTAAAGCTCAAGAGGAAGTGCCAGAGACTAAAGCTCAAGAGGGAGTGCCTGTGGTGCATATTTACATTTACATTTTAGTCATTTAGCAGATGCTCTTATCCAGAGCGACTTACAGTTAGTGAGTGCATACATTTTCATACTGCCCCCCCGTGGGAAACGAACCCACAACCCTGGTGTTGCAAGCACCATGCTCTACCAACTGAGCTACAGGAGACTATATTTGTGAGTAAAATTAAGAAAGGGAGAAAGTGGGGAGAGACTGCGTAAGCTACTTGTGTGTGACAGGGTCAGAGTGAGCCAGAAAACATACAGCTCAGACATCAGTCCATCCATCCAAACTCACCTGGCTCTAAGGATTGTGGGTAATCCTGAGGCGGCTGCCCCTCCCCTCTTTCCCCTCTCTCCACTCCTTTTGACAGGAGTGAGGGGGCGGGGCTCAGAGCTGGGGATCTCGGGGCTGCAGCCGCAGGGCTGGGGGCGGGGTTTAGAATGTTCTGGGGATGTGATCTCCTAGAAGGTGAGTGGCAGCAGGGTGATTGGTGGTTGCTAGGACACACCCCTTGTGAGGGAGGGGTAGTCTTGGAGGGAGGGGTGTGGGAGAAGGGCTTAGCAGCACGGGAGGTTCTCGAAGTCTCGTGGAAAGGACGGTCATCAATGGTGATAGTGGTTTCCTCTGCCTTCCTCTGTAGGGAGGTGGAAGGGGGTAGAGAAAGAAATATAGAGGGATGGACGAAAGGAGAGAGACAGAGGGGAAAGAAGTTAGATCTATTTTGAGCCCACAAGATTAGCCACATATTCCTTAGAAACCCTTACCATCATTACATTTGACATTTTAGTCATTTAGCAGACGCTCTTATCCAGAGCGACTTACAGTTAGTGAGTGCATATATTTTCATACTGGCCCCCCGTGGGAATTGAACCCACAACCTTGGCGTTGCAAGCGCAATGCTCTACCAACTGAGCTACACAGGGCCACACATTAGGAACACAGTGGGGGTTATTGGGCGAACGCCACAAGCTAGTACAGACCTTTACAGCCAGCCAAAGGTCATTGGCAGTCTGCTAGGATCCTTTGTCTCTTGACAAACACTTTCTCTCTAAAAACTAAAGCCTGGTTTTCCCCTTTCTCTATTTTGAAACATCCCTGGCTCTTGTGGTTGAATTTACTACTGAATATGCTGAAGATGGTGAAAGCGAACTCTGGGTTTGTTTCAGCATGTTATTTCCTAACTTCCTGATCCACGGGTGCAGACAGTTTCACAACATTGTGAGTGTTGGTCATGGTCAAGGGGGAAACTGCAGTGTAGAAAGGTCATTTGGGCTACTGTTACTGGGAACAAAAATCACTGGGTTTAAGAGTATTCTCTCCATTAAAGGTTACACACAAGTGTTGAGTGTGTATGTGTTGCCTTTGAGTAGTGTGTGTGTGTTTACCTGTGAGTAGTGTGTATGTGTTGCCTTTGAGTAGTGTGTGTTTACCTGTGAGTAGTGTGTGTGTTTATTTATTCATATTTATTTACGTCATTTAGCAGACGCTCTTATCCAGAGCGACTTACATGAGCAATTAGGGTTAAGTGCCTTGCTTAAGGGCACATCGACAGATTTTTCACCTAGTCGGCTCGGGGATTAGAACCAGCGACCTTTCGGTTACTGGCACAACGCTCTTAACCACTAAGCTACCTGCCGCCCTCTGTGTGTGTGTGTGTGTGTGTGTGTGTGTGTGTGTGTGTGTGTGTGTGTGTGTGTGTGTGTGTGTGTGTGTGTGTGTGTGTGTGTGTGTGTGTGTGTGTGTGTGTGGTGTGTGTGTGTGTGTGTGTTTGTGTGGTGTGTGGTGTGTGTGTGTGTGTGTGTGTGTGTGTGTGTGTTGTGTGTGTGTGTGTTTGTGTGTGTGTGTGTGTGTGTGTGTTGTGTGTGTGTGTGTGTGTGTGTGTGTGTGCGCGTGTGCGCGTGTGTTGTGTGTGTGTGTGTGGTGTGTGTGTGTGTGTGTGTATTTACCTGTGAGAGTGTGTTTACCTGTGAGTGTGTGTTTACCTGTGAGAGTGTGTGTTGTCGGTGCATGTGCTCCATGGCCCTGTGTTGTTGTTGGTGGTGGTGGTGCTGCAGGGCATAGAGCTCCTGTTGCCGTAGGAACGGAGAACGGGAGTAAACAGCGTGATGCTGCATGTGGGGGGAGGGGCCTCGGGCTCCGTAGACCGAGGGCCACAGTGCTGACTGGTCCATCACATCTAGAGAGAGCAAGAGCGAGAGAGCGTGAGAGCAAGAGAGAGATATTTTACCATTGATAGTGGTATTTTCGGTCTGTTCTGATCAAATCAATAAAGCTTTCAGAAAGGGACTGAGTGGTGGGAAATAGAAAGAGATAGTGAGTGAAAAAGAGAGAGAGTGTGTGTGTGAGCGAGAGAGCAAGAGAGAGAGGAGGGAGGGAGGGGAGGGAGGGAGGGAGGATGGAGGGGAGGGAGGGAGGGAGAATGAGAGAGGGAGAAAAGTAGACATCATTGCTATTTTTATCATCTATATACCATCTCTCACGCAATATATCTCTCGAGGCATCGCGCTCTCTGATCTCATAT